AGTTATGGTAAAAATATGACATTTTCATTAAGGAGTCTTTCTGTATTTCCAATTCTTTAAATAATAACATGTATCGTTGTTGAGTTGTTAAAAAACCATTATAAAATAATAAAATAATGCTATCTCGAGTAACGTAATTTTTCCTCACTCTTTCCTACAGAGAATTAAAAACCTCTTTTCTTTTTTTTTTCTTTTTTTTTCCGGTAATTATTTTTATATTTTTTATAAAATTTAGAGAAATTTTTACATTTACAAACACAAACGAAAATAACATACAAAAAAAAAAAAAAAAAAAATTCAAAAGAAAAACCAATAAAAAGTAAATGTTTCTTAGTAATATCTTATTTCGTGAAAAGAGTTTTTATGACAAAAAACAATTGATATGATACTTTTTTCTTCTATTTAAGAGATAAAATCTGCGTTTAACTTGTTTATGGTCCCGGTTCAGTTAGAGTATATATCCTTGATCCATTTTTTAAAACATTTAAATGTATAAATTTTATTTTGTAAAACTAATCTTGATTATTTTTTTTATCTTTAGTTTACGATCTTTATTAAATAGGGCATATTTATATTTCTAATGTATTAAAAAATTATTTTGCTAAAGTATTTAAATCTTGCTACTTTTTCTTTAATAAGTGGAACGAATTTTTATCGTAAGAAATTCTATTTAAATTTATAATTATTTTTATTAAAATATAAAAAAAAATTGAATCTTATGAAATTATTAATTAATTATTTTTAGTTTTATTACATTTGTTAATACAAAAAAATTTTTCTTTAAAATTCGTAATGAAAATTAATATAAAATTTAATTTCAAAATAATAAATTTTATGTAAATGTATTGGGATAGTGGAAATGAAATTAATTTTTTGGTATCTCTGGGCGGAATTATATGTAATGTTAGACAAAAGATCGAAGTCTATTTGACAAGTTCAAGAAAAATTTTAACTGTAATAAGGGACAAGAATAAAAAGCACAACTTCTTTATTAATTATAAAAAGTAATACTTTTATTGGCAAACAAATATCCGTCATTTAAGTCACAAAACCAGTTAGGTAATTAAGCAATTAGTAAAAAAAAATAAAATACAAAACAAATCAAGAAGAAATTATAAAAATCTTGTTAAAATTAATCTAAAATTAATTAAAAGAAGAAAGAATATTATTAAAATATCGTTCCATTTTAGCCTTATTAATACATATTATTTTTTTAAAATAAATTTGAAGTATGCAATTTTACGTAAATAATAAATTGGGATTCATTTTTATTAAGTAACATATCCATTACATAGTTATAAATACATGCTTCGCCCCATACAGGCAACAAATTACAAAATTATGTTTAAGAAAGACATTACTAGCAATAAAACCAACGTCGTGAAGCCAAATCTAAAAAAAAAATAAAAAATAAGAAATCCAATAAGAAGTTGACAAAAAATAGACTGTGCACATTTGTTCCAAAGGAAATGTTTCAACATACCATACAAAACTTGGAATATACTGTATGTACAATTAGGTACTGATTTAATTTGAATCTACAAAATTTAAAGCCCCAAGCATTACAACAGCCGAAACCATTTGTAAGCCTTTACTGCCTGGCAGTGACCAAAAGCAAACGAGAGTAATCTCATCGAGATACTAATGGTGTGTCAGTATTGGGATAGGGCATCGCAGGAAATATCACTGAACGATAACGGGGTTTAACCGCCCACCCGGAAGGAGTAAAATGTGTTGGATAAAGATAATGAATATAAGGATCTGGAAAAATAGTTTTCGTAATTTCGTTAGAAAGAATGGGAAAAATAAATCACTTACAATTAAGTTAAAAAAAAAAGACAACTTACCAAAAGGATACTTGATGTAGCCAGTTGTTGAATGAAGACGAGACATTTTTTCAGAAATTATCGTACGATCGGATTATATTGTATCTACAAATTTGAAGCCCCAAGCATTACAACAGCCGAAACCATTTGTAAGCCTTTACTGCCTGGCAGTGACCAAAAGCAAAACGAGAGTAATCTCATCGAGATACTAATGGTGTGTCAGTATTGGGACAGGGCATCGCAGGAAATATCACTGAACGATAACGGGGTTTAACCGCCCACCCGGAAGGAGTAAAATATGTTGGATAAAGATAATAATGAAATATAAGGATCTGGAAAAATAGTTTTCGTAATTTCGTTAGAAAGAATGGGAAAAATAAATCATGTTAAAAAAAAAAAAAGACAACTTACTAAAAGGATACTTATGTAACTAGTGTTGAATGAAGACGAAACATTTTCCAGAAATTATAGTTCGATCGGATTATATTGTATCTACAAATTTGAAGCCCCAAGCATTACAACAGCCGAAACCATTTGTAAGCCTTTACTGCCTGGCAGTGACCAAAAGCAAAACGAGAGTAATCTCATCGAGATACTAATGGTGTGTCAGTATTGGGACAGGGCATCGCAGGAAATATCACTGAACGATAACGGGGTTTAACCGCCCACCCGGAAGGAGTAAAATATGTTGGATAAAAATAACAATAAAATATAACATTCTAGAAAAATAATTTTCACTTCTTTAGAAAGAATGAGAAAAATAAATCAATTACAATTATTATTTAAAAAAAAAACTTACCAAAAGGATACTTGATGTAGCCAGTTGTTGAATGAAGACGAGACATTTTCCAGAAATTATCGGTACGATCGGAGTATTTACGCTACAAGCATTACAACAGCTGAAACCATTTGTAAGCTTTTACTGCCTGGCCAGTGACTAAAATAACGGGGTTTACCGCCCACCCGGAAGGGTATTGTTATATATAATGGGTTAAAGATATTTTAAGAAAATATAATCTAAAACAAATATATTCGTTAGAAGTAATAGAAAAGTAAAAAAAAAAAAACCCTTCATATAATGAAAACCAAAAATATATATATCGCAAAAAGGTTGAATACTTTCGTGAGAATTTTTTTGTTCACATGTTCACATCTGCATGTTTACCAAATTCCCACACAAAATAGTACTCATTTGTGTAAAGGTTTTGCAGATCACTAAAACTTGCCGTAGATAAGAAAGATATCAACAAAATTCCTGTTAATTATGATTAAAATCAAGCAAGCTTATATAATATTTTGTATAAATTTTAATAGTATAATATTATATATCATAAAACCTAGTTTTATTTTCTGTAAGTATTATTATAATGCATCTAATAGTAATATTTTATTTATTTATTATAATTTAATAAACTTATTTAATTTTAATTATAATTTGAATAGATCAATTTTGGTAGAGTGATTGATAATATTGTGTAAATATGATTTAAATATTATTTATATTAAACATTATACTTTTTATTTTACAACATAATAAAGTAAAAAAGTTTAACTGGGATCTTAATAGTTGCGAATTAATTTGGAGTATAAGAATGAATAATGACTATATTTTATTATGAAATTTTCTGGTTTGCTTTTTCTTTTGTTCTATGCAACTATTAACTTACGCGTTCAATTTTCTCGACAGGAGACTGCCCCTTGGAACGTAAATAATAAAATATATTTGGGAGATTTCTGTGAACTGGGTTTTCCATGTCTTGGATTTTTGTCGTTTATACTTTCTATCGCGTCTAATTGCTTTAACCGAACCGGTAATTCTTTGGATCGTACATTTTTGAATATAAATGACTTTACAGTAAATTTTTGTGAACTGGATTTATATAAGGCTATTAGGAACGGTAAATGATAAATTTTTCTGTGGACTGGATTTCTATACGTTTATTATTTTTTATTTAATTTTCTTTTGTATACTTTACTAACGTTTCTAATTCATTGGATTATGTAATAATGGAAACATTAATAATTAAATGAGAGTGATAGTAACTTATATTATGGACCGGATTTAATTGATATAATATAATAATGGATCGTGTGATGATGGAGAGATAACAAGGTGATCGATAAAATTTCTGTTGACTACTATTAATGATTTTTTATTTTAATTTTTCATATGCTTTACTAATGCTTCTAATTGCGTTGTGAGTTACTGTATATTTATCATGAGATATATCTAGAATTATAAGAAGACATGAATCAGCTGGGCCGATTCTTGATTATTTGTTGTTTTATTATTATAAACTTTACTACCGCGTCCAATGTATTGACTGGTCTAGATAATCTTAGATCGAGTATAATAATCAATAACTTATGAGAGACATATGTAATAATAATAATGGATCATGAGATGGAGATACCTAGATAATTAGAAGGTGTGAATGTATAATGGTTGAAATTTCAGTGACCTGGGTTTGCTTTGTCTTAGCCATTTTATGTTATATTTTTATATACATACACCTTTACGTCTAATTGCATTGATTGAACTGGATACTTCTTTGAATTGTGGAATTATGGAATGTGTATGAATGAAAGTATGATATTGAATATAATTGTACTTGGTATTTTGTTTGAGGATTTGGTTCGATATGAATAATTAAAGCTAATATGTAATTAATGTAATTTATAATTGACGAAATTTTCTGTAGATTGAGTTTGCAATATCTTTTTTTTTGTTTATTTTATTATTTTATTTTAATATTTGGATAATGCAATAGCGATACTTTGAGATGATGGTTATTGAATGACATTAAAAATTAATTACAGAAACACGATTTGATACGCAATTAGTATTTTGAACAATTTAACATTTATTTACAGTATTATCTATACAAATATAATTTCTTAAAAAAGTAAGTTACACTGTTGATTTTACCTCCGGTCGAAATTAACAGAATTAAGATTATAAGAACTACCAAAATTTCGTTGATCGAATTTATAGTACCGGCCTAAGAAAACCCGGTTAACAACAATTTCGATTTTAGTTATTATTATATTAATCGGGTTCCAATCACAGTATTAGTAATTGGAAATTATTTAAAATATTTAAAATTATTTTAAATACAAATTTTATTTTTATTTTTATTTTTATGCATATTGTACATCCGAGAATAAATTAATTTATCTATTTTCTAAAAGTTCCTTAATAAAATTTTGAATATTTTTTTCTAATTCTGCCATTTTGGTATCGATTTTTTTATCCATTAAATCTAACCTTTCATTAACAGTATTAATACTTTGTTGAAATTCTTTATATAATTCATCCACTTGTGATGATGTAGAAGGGGTATTTTTAATTTTAGTATCTTGTTGTGTGACTTTGTCTGGTTCATATTTCATTAGAGAAGCTTCATCATAAATATCTTCTTTAAAATCATACTTTTTATATGATGCTTTGTTTTCATATCTTTTATAAATACATCCTCTAAAATCTTTCCTTCCTTCAGACCATTCATCGAAACTCTTTGAATGGCCTACATAAAAGATAAAAGTTGGATCCGGCTCGGTTGGCCAAAATCTAATATCTTCTAACGCTTCATAATCCGATATAAGATCCGCTCTATACCTTAATAATGCGTCTCTTCCTTTCTTTGCAGCTTCTTCATAAACACCACTAAATTAAATATAAGGATTAATTAAAATCATGCATACGTATGATACGTGAAAATATTATCATCACTTACCCCATAAATGCAATTAACATATTTTGTAATACAGTGACCATTACAAGACTTGCTATTACTGCCAGAAAATCGACCGCCCAAAAATCCCAAATACCTCTTTGACTCCATTCACCATTCACCCAAAAATACGCTGCTTGAATAGATGTCAACATATTTGTATAGGGATTATCATTAGTTGAACTTGGATCAAAGTCTGATACTACATTTACACCCAATGTTTCATTTGTTGTCGCATTAATTAATGTATATCCATCAATATCTGGTGCCAAATGATTCAAATTTGGATTTTGTAGTAATAAAAAATCTATATAAAAGTGGAATCAATTAAGATGAAATATCTGGATTAAAATACCTAAATTTTGAAAGGAATTACTGATACTTACGTGCATGTGCAAAACCCACAAAACAAATAATCATGAAAAGGTAATAAGGCCAAACTAGATTTATATAAACCGCACAGTATAATATTAATAAGAATATAATTTACAATCTTAAAATTAAAAAAAAAAAAAACCTTACCAGTCTTAAATATAATGATAATGTAATAAATATACATAGCCATCTCTGAAATTAAAAGAAAAGATTTAATGCAAAGCTTTCATACTTCCTAATCAACTCAAGTGAAATTATTCAAACCTGATAATAATCTGAGATACAATATCTAAAGAAATGGTTATAAGTAACGAAATAATTAAAGAAAAAATTTAAAGTCACACATCTATGAATTTTTTACATACCATTTCACACCAGATTAATAGCATTGTAAAAGAAATACCAACTACAACTCCGGTACTTGTTTCTACGTTACCAAAACTATCAGAAAGTTCAAAAGAACTGGCCACAAATATTGACATTACGATTGCGGGACAAATAACTGCAAATATATCAAACATATTAATTATACTCAAATAATCTCTCCATCCATGATGTAATAGTTGTAAAACTTCAACAGCTATCAGATAATATGCCAAATAGTAGAAGCATGCCATTACAAGTATTAAAAGTATTTGTAAACCTCCTGTAATATCAGAGTTTGACATATAAGCCGCACTAATTATTGCAAAACAAACTGCATATGCAAAAAATGCTGCAAATAATTGTAAAAAGTAGTTTCTTGCTGGCCTCCATCTAAAATCAATAATAGCTTCCATTGCCGGATTATCGAATATATCATTTTCATTTTCATATCTAACTACCTGAACAAATGGACTTAATAATCTTTTATCATCTCTTCCAATTATATAACCTCGAGGAATTATAAGAATTTTTAACAATCTTAATAAATTTGATTTCCAATTATAACTTACAACTGGTTTGGGAATATTATCAACTGTGAAATTCGGTAACCTAGCAAATAATTTTAAAAGGCTTAATATCATAAGAGATTAGGTGATCAATGACATAAACCAAAAATGCAACTCACGGAACAACTCTTAAAGCTATAGGTGGAGGTTCTTGATCAACATCGAAATTATCAACAAATCCCGCATAATATCTTGGTATTTTAACCGTGACAAATTCCCAAAGTTTTTGAAGTGCTGGTTTGTTATTTTTATCAGATATTAGTTTGGTAACAGGCTTGAACGCAACAAAATCCTGAGCGCTATTTCTTCGAGGCCTTCGTTCTTCAGGAATTATCTCAGAAGTGTCAAATTCAGTTCCTAATTCCATATCAGCGAAACATTCTTTATAAAGTACTGCTTTCACATAATAATCTAAATATTCATAGAAATTATTAAGAATTGTTGAAATATGAATGAATTATCAATTCTAAGAAATTTTTTTTACCTAAATTATTTCTATACAATAATGGCAAGGCTTTTGAAATTGTAATCATCCATCCAAAATGATAAATTGCATTCTCCGAATAATATTCTAACAGATATCCAACCATAATTGCATCTTTCCTTTCTTTTCCTATTAATTGTTATCATTAATAGTTTTGAATAAAATTCTTTATAAAAAAAATATATAACGAACATAATAAAAAAGAATACCTTTGCAATATTCGATTGCACATTCCAAGTCTGTACTAGGAATCTCTACCTGTTTTTCCTTTTTGACAATGGGCTCATCTTTTGGTATATAAAATCCAAAAGTCAATACATTTAATAGACATATTAAAGGATAAATTAATACCTCTAAGATCTGAAAAAGTCCAAGATGGTACTCTTTTGATCTTTTTTTTAATATTGGAACATCATTCATCCATTTTTTTGTTCTTGGTATATGTAATGTTAATTTTTTATTAAAAAGTTTGTTTTTCTTTTTATCTGCTTCAATTTGTTTCAATTGCTTCTTATCTTTTATAATTAAGTCGTTATCATCACCAAAAAGTATAAACTTAATCAAATAACAAGCGCCACCGCGAATTAAATTAGCCATCACATTAAATCGAATATCCATTAGTCTCCAGACCTCTGGCCTCTTTTTAATAAACCTCCAAATGATGCGATTTGTACCTTCAACTAGTTCCTCATATTGATCTAAAAAATAATAAAAAGGAATATAATTTTGATCCAAAAATATTAAGACTTCCATAAAAGAATATTATATACTAAATAAACAATTACACTGCTTCTTTATATCAATTAACTTTCCCTTTCGAATATGTAAATGTTCGAGTGCTTCACAAGCATGCCTCACAGCAGATACTTGGCCGTCTGGATATGGCCAGCGAATATGTCTCATTTCTAGCTCTTTCCCAACATTCCATATGAGGGTAAGTGAAAACGCGCAATCTCCTATCCATAATTCTTGAATACGTAATGCTGATTCGTCACAATCATACTCCAATGAAATGCCATTTGTCCAAATATATTCAAGGATCGTTTCTGATCTTAATGTAGATGCAGATTTTACTTTTTTATCTTTTTTATCCATCTTTGATGTTTTGCGCCAAATTTGAACTGTACTATGTCCTATAATAAGTTGTAATGTCTCTTGATCATCCAAATATATTGACCGTCTATAATAATTATCAGAATCCACCCAAGGTTCTGTATTTTCAATAATCGGCTTGTGATAAGACTTAACTGGAATTTGACGTCGAAAGATTTGATGTAATTTTGAGTGCTTTTCTTGCTTAGAATATTGCATCGGCATTTTTTCGGCTTGGTTCCAAGTTACCTCTCGAGATTTAAATAACGTACAACCAAAAGATTGTGTTAAATCCTTCTCTACTCCTGTTATATGATTTAAGAAATCTTCATGGTGCAGGATTGAATATACAGTTCCGTCATTATTCATTCTTAAAAGTTGCCCAGGTACTTTGGCTAAATGTGAATAAAAGTCTTTTCGTGCGGGAAATAAATCATTACATGATCCTATACGAATTGCATCTTCCGCTGAACTAAACAAGTCCCAAATTATAATTTTTGTAACTTTTGTTATTTTTTCCGTGGGTTTCTTGCTTTTAATTTCATTCTTTTGATCTTTATCTAAAGATGGTATCTCCTCGTCACTATTTTTTTCATGTTTTTCTTTTCCTTTTGAATGTTTTTTACCTTTCTTAGTTTCGCCTTCGCCTTTAGAAACTTCCTCATAAATTTCTTCCTCAATAACTAGTAGTATCCTTTCATCATCATCGATAAATTCTATAAATGTAATTTTACTGTCAGTTCCAAATTTCTTTACTCCAACTTCAAGACCATTTTCAATATAGCTATCGTTTTAAAATTTATTAGTTAACCAAAAAAATTATAAATTGGTCAAGAAGAGTATGAAATCTATATCTTACTTGATGTTGACAGAATTCAAACCTTTGGAAAATGCGAGAAGTTGACGATTATTTGAAATTGCGTAAACCGAAGTGATATTCAGATTTTTTAAATTATGAGATCCAGAATCTTCATATCTAGAAAATATTTGTTCTTGTTCCATTGCCATCAAATTTATTAATTCACATGTTTGAACTCCATCCTTGTATTGTTCGATTAGAAAATAATGATTATAAATACATGAAAGTAGTCTTTCCATGCAATTCTTTGATTTATACCATGTTTGCAATTCTTTATCGAACCTTTTGGGAAATGAAAACTTTTCTGTGGTTTGATAGCCAATGTAATTAAACAAAATATCATTACTTCTATGACTATATGGGATCTTAAAAATTCCCTCAGCATTAATAATCAAGCAACTTGTTTTCATAAGTATATCGGTATATTGGTCCCCTTCATTCTCTATACAATCATCTTGAAAATGATGATTAGTTTGATCGCTTTGAACAAATAGAACGATGCCAGCAATATTCTCTTCGGTATATTCTGAGAGTGTGCAGGGTTGCTGTATTAAATTAGGATTTGACTTGTTAAATGTAATACGAAACACCGCAGTTTTTCCTTTAGTTATGGTTTCGTCGGCGGAATCCTGTACATTCTCAACGACAGTTGGTATATTTATCCTTATATTATCTGTTCCGGTTTTGTTCTCATACTCCACCGCGGAAAAGTCCATACTATTTGATAACGATTTGGACTCTGGTAAAGGAACCCCATGTTCTCTTTTTATCATATCACTCTCAACTATAGCGGAAATCGTTATAAACATCACAAGTTCACCATTATGTTCCATGAGATTTGAAATCGCAATTGACCAAGTAGGAAATGTTCTGTGATCACTTTTATCTTGTTGATTCGTTGTTTCTGTGGAAAGGTTACTTAATTTTTTTTTTAAATTCACCACTTGTAAATATTCCTTGAATACACTTTGGTTTATTTCGTACGATTTAGAATCTCGGTGGGAATCATGATTTAAATTTGGAATATTTACAAATTTTTTATTGGTGATTACTTCATTATTTCGAACTAGATAATGCCTCGTATCGCATTTAAAAATCTTGAATTCGAGCTTTTCTAAAACATAATTCGAAAGTTTTTTTTTTATTCATATTCCGAGTAGAAAAAAAAAAAAATTTTTTTATTTTAATAACTTACTGCAATTAAATGTGGCTACGTATTGACCATCCGGACTAATGGCAATATTGGAAGCGAATCTTTCCTTGGGATTATCAACCGTATCGGGAATGCGTGCGATAACAGGTTGTTGAGATGGTCGCCTACCAATTAATAAATTTCCCAAAGTTGACGTTATGGAACTGAAAGTGGATTTCTCTTCTCCATTCGAACGTTTAGAATAAATTGAATTATTTGATTCAAAGGACAATTGTTTGTTTTTGTTTTTGTAATCTTCATTATTATCCACAGCATTAGACACGTTTGCTGCAGTTAAATGATTACTATCATATAATTGGGCTCTGCTAATTAATCCTTCGGAAATTGTTTCATCGGACATGACTCTTATTTTTATATATATATATTTTTTTTCCTCCCAGTTAATTAAATTAATTAAAGAGAAAGAACAAATTATGTAAGAAAAAAATTTATATAACGTTCGAGATTATTATATTTTAGAAAATATTTATATGGATTTGTGGTCCAAATAATGAAACTTTTTTTTCATATTCCTTATTCGCCAATTTAGAAAGTATGTGTAACACGTCATGCAATGAAAGATGCAAAATATCAGTTTTAACCATACCAATGTGCCCTGAAATGGAAGGAAACCTTGTTAAAGTTGTCATACCTTTGACACGAAATTCCCGCTTTGGGAATAATATAAAAATATATTTATAATTCCTAAACAATTTATTCGCTGATCAAACAAACAAATATTATCCCAAGAATAAGGATGTATCCAAATTACGGAAAAGGCGCAAAGTGAATAATCTCATCGATTAATGCACTGCTTGCAAGGTTAAAAAACGTTTCCCGAAACAACATTCACACGAGGCATTAATGATATTGCTAGACATCAAATTAATGACGAATTAGGAAAATCAAGAGGGTTTATTAATAATTACTTTACAGAATGCATGAAAGTGTACGAGTCTTTAAGTAAATAAATAATTAATTAATCCATAAATAAAAGTAAGTTAAATGTTATTTTTGTATTTTTGTGAAATGAACTTGATAGAACTTGAACCGGTTAACGTGTGCTACAGAAAATAAAACTCAAAACAAAAAATTTTCATTCTAGTTATTTGGGCTGATTTTTCGAATTTTGATCTACAAAAGCATTACCCAATCGGTTTCGGCAAAAACTAGCGATCGAAACATAAACAAAGAAAATAGATTTTTTTTTTTGAATGGGACAATGATTGTGCAGCACAAGATTAAACAAAGTTTGGGCGTTTGGTAAAACAGGGGCATACCTAATGGTACAAATATTCTATTTACAATCGCTCAATTAGTGTCGGTGAATAAGAAATCATATGTTACCCGAACATTGTGACACTTTACAAATTGGAAAGTATCACGTGATTAAAGGTTTACAACGAATATTAAAATTTTTTTTTTTTTTTTTTAATTTTGGTATATTATTAATTTTTTTTTTCCCTCCCTTTTTTAATCATATTCGTCTTTTTGAAATTAAAAACTTATTTCATGTTACGTAACAATATTGGTAAAGGTCAACACAT